CTCCTAATATCATTCACGGAGGGTTTCCGGAGAAGGGTAGCTGTTGCTGCTCTCAAGGGGTGGGAGGGCATATATGGACGCAAGCATTCCTTTAGATATCCAGGTTCCAAACCGTTTAGGGCTTTATAGGTCATAACCAACACCTTGAATTGGGCCTGGACTTCAATCGGGAGCCAGTGGAGCTGACGGAGAACTGGGGTTATATGAGAATAATGCCCAGTCCCCATCAGCAGCCTGGCAGCTCTATTCTGCACCAACTGAAGTATCCGAACCGTCTTCAAGGGTAGCCCCACGTACGGCGCATTGCAGAAATCTAATCGGAATAGACCCGGGATGGGACATTGTGCCTCAGGAGGAACCTGGCTGTGGGAACTCGCATACTGGGCAACATGTGGAGCAGGCAGGTGTCTGTCTGGGACAGCGTTTGGGCTGTGGGTTGGACCGTGTCATTTTGACTGCAGCCAAGGGAGCTTTGCTTCGCCTCTCTGCACTTAGAGCGAGGCCTGCGTCTCGCCGTCTGGGCCTCTGCGTAATTACAAAGCCCGTTTCTGGGCAAACTGAGCTGCTGTGGTTTCCTTTCCTTTTCAAGTCGATCTTCCCCTTGTGATTAGAGTGTTTTGAGGAACTGGGCAGGCGAGGGCCTCTTTAGAGCTGCTCTCCCGAAAAAGCTGCTTCACCACAGCTTCACCACAGCCGTTTCTGTTCCTGGGATCCAGCTGGGTTGTGCCCTCGGGACTGTCCGCTCTTCGGCTCCTTGCAGGCCTCTTCCTGCTTTCATGTCGAACATCGTTGGTGACAGAAGAAGACATTTGAGGGTTTAATCCGGCACCACCCACTCCCAACTGCTAGCTGTGTGTCTGGGATCTCCGGCAGAGAATCGCTCCCTGAGTCTTTTTAACTGGGAGACTCTCTATACACAAAGAAGGGGTTTTCCATGAGCTCTGAGCTTTCCTTTTAAAAAATGAATTAAGATTCTAGTCCTCATAGTCTGGACAGGTGTAAAGATGAGTTCAGGAAAGTGAGTCACTGAATGTGGGTCTCTTTTGCCTGGAAATGGCTCACCAGGGTTTCGGGCAGAGAAGAGTTTTCCTGCCACCACTCACCTGACCTGTTTGCACTGGGATGTCAGGTCCTGAACTGGGGAACTGTCGCCAGAGGGAATCTTGGGGTGGTCCTCAAATCTCTGGGAGATCTGCTGTTTCTCCACCCTGCTGTCCATGGCACTTACCAAGCAGTATGGTATCAGCCAGCGACCAGCTAGGGCGAAATCGCCCCCCGGAAAACCTCTGGCCAGCAGAGCTGGGCCACAGAGAGCCCTGTCTTGACCAAGTCCCTGATCCTTCGAGCCAAGTTCCTGACAGATCAGCACTGAGTATATATACCAGGTCGGTCCAGTCCCTTTTGCCAGTCACAAGGCTATTACTTACGGTGGTGGTGATTATAATGAATTAACAAGTTTGCATACAATTATCTAAAGATATCACTAAACAGTTTATGGGATTGGAGATCCAACTGCATGCTAAAAAAAAATCCCAAACCAGCAAACTGTAGGACTCTTCTCTGTATAAACATGTGTGGGATTGCATTCTACAAAATAAAAGAATAATATGATAAACTTCAGGCTGTACGCAAAAAGAGTCGAAGACTTGTAGCGTATTCTGCTCCAAAGGCTTCGCTTTCATTTTTACCGCCTGTCCCTCCCTCCTCACGCTTAGCCTCTCGTGCAGATCTGTGCCACTCCTAACCATCTTCTGTTCATTGAAATTTTTAATCTTAGCGCTTAAGAGGTGAGGGTTGATTGTGCATACATAGGTTTCCAAAGGGACAGTGGGATCGAGGCCTTTTTCTCAACTCTGTATGCTTCTTTTAGAAGACGTTTGCTTTGAAAAAGAGGCAAGTCGTCTCTGCAGGTACAAATTCCCAGTTTTGAGAACTGCAAAACCGAGCATCTGGGATGATATCTGCTAGTTAGAAAAACTGCTCCATAATCTTACAGAAACCTCTGGAAGCGTATGACCTTGTGAACAGATTAATGGAATTCCTTTACCAAAAAAATTAAACTTTGCATGAATATATACCCTCATGCTACATAATTAAAAACAAATCCTTATTTCATGATGAATAAACTTTGGACTATAATGTATCCTAAGCAGAAAACCATCTTTAGATAGATTTTTTTTTCTTACAAAGCATTTTATTTTTTAAAAAATCCAACTTCAATAAAACAATCTGATTTAATTTTTAAAATTCTGATTTAAATTCAAAAATCTGATTTAAACTTTAAAAATCCATTTTTATTTTAAAAAATCATTGTTTTTATCCACCCTGTTGTATTTTAATAATTTGGGGAAAATGTAGAAGGAACAGAGAACATGAAAGGGACAGATGGGACTAACAGGCAGGCCAGGGCCAACCAACCCAGCCTGTGTGTCCAGACACACAAGCGAGAGCGTGCCTGCGCAGAGAGGAACTGACATCTCGTTGCTTCTCAGGAACTTCTTGTTTCCCCCCTCTGTTCTCTTCTTCTCTGCTCTCTTGCCAAGACGCTCTGTTCTTCTTTGGACAGCTAGAAACAGTTTGCGTGGAAAATGGAGCCGCAGCCAACAACACAACCCTTGGAATTATCTCCAAAGGCAGCTTGGCGTGCCTTCGACCGACTCGCTCGAGCCCACAAACTGGGTGGGTTCTCTTCCGCCATCCCCCCTTTCATCTTTTCCTGTCGGGAATGTCGTGGAAGTCATTTCCATCATTCCTAATCTGTTGCGTTGCTACTTCAGCTACTCCGGGAGAAACAAAGAGCCGCGACAGGATGGGAGGAGGGCGTGATGGGGGGGAAAGGCAGCTCCGTTGATCTAACTTTATTTCCAGGCCGCCTTTAAGGCTGGAATCCTTAAGCTCTGGCTCTTTGGGTCCTTGGCATATTTAGCCCAAATGTGCCGGGCTGCGTAAACATTCAAGAGAGAACGCAGATATTCCACTGAGGAAATTGGAGTACCACGGGCCATACGCATTACCCAAATTGCTTGCGTGGTTTTCGTTCTGCTTGTCAGAGGGGAGGGACCTGAGAGCTGCCTGGCCTATGGGAGCCCACCATGGGATTCTTTCCAAGCACTGGGAATTTGACGTTTAAAACAAACTGGCAAAATTGGTGAAGGACAGATCTGATTACAAGAGGCTGCTGAACTTCTGTCAGTGGCACCTCCACGATTAGGAGCAGTCTACCCCTAAGTCCTGGAGGAGAGTTTGGACATGAGCTGTAGTGGAGGACTCTTGCCGTCTTTGCTCAGGTACTGTGGGCACGCTGGTGGGGAGGAGGGAGGGAGGGAGTGCGGTGCCGCCGGTGGATCCCAGGAGGCTCTCTCGGCATCAGGTCGTGCAGGCTGACAAAACAGTGGCAGCCGCGTCTTTCCGCAGGGGCTTGGCACCATGTGGGGTCTCTGGTGCCACCTGATGTGCCAGTCCAGGAAGAGCTGTGGACTGGTGTACACCTGGGAGCCTCCTGGAAACATCTGGCCAGCCACCACCAGAAACAGGATACTGGGGAAATGGACTTGCTGTGGCCAATTCAGCAGAGCACTGGGATTGTCTCGTTTTAGCAAGAAGATGCACTCCTCCCGATTTTCCTACTAACCAATATTATGCCAATAAGCTGCATCCTTTCCTGGGCATTGCTCAGGGATTATGGGAGCTGGAGTCCCAGTGACATCTACAGGTTTGCTTTTACGTTGTTTTGTACCTGTGATGGGAGGGGAAGGCCGGCCGGCCATATAAGTCCCCTCGACTATGTCCTGGTGATGCAGGCTGGAGTCCTGTTCCCTCCGCATTTCCCTGGGAACAAAACTCATAAATTCAGTGCAGTTTACTTGTGAGTGGACATGTGTGGGATTATACCATAATTCCCTTTTCTGCCTGCAAAGCCCCAGTGCATTTTTCTGTCCATAAAAACCAGCTTGTGTCTGGAAGACAAAGGGCCAAATCAGAAGGTAGATTCAAATTACATTTGGAGTGCGGCGTTTTGGCTTCTGCCTTCCCTGGGTAGCTGTGATGTTCAGTGGATACCAAGCACGGCCCTTGGAAACACTGGAAATGAAACTCCCGAAGAAGGAGAGAGGAAAGAGGGACGAAGGGCATCAGACCGAGAGAGCTTAGCCTGTGGAACCAGCAGTTTTCCTCCTGCCGGGTCGCATGTCGATGTTTTCCATTAGTCCTGTTGGTCGCCACTGCAGATCATGGAAAAGACCGTGGACACACGAGTCAAACTTCTGAGGGCCAGGCCGGGCCAGTCCCGACTGTCTAACACAATATGTGTTGCATACTTGCAAAGCGGTATGGATTCCATTCCTCCTTGAGGACTAGTAGGCCGTGCTATTGGGAGTTGTGGTGTCTGGCTTCTCTCGGTCTTTCCCACTCCGGCTACTGAAGATCCTTTAGGGGGAGATGCCCCGGGACCCTCTCCGCAGAGCTGCATTGCAAGCACTGGCCTGGGGCTTCCCTTTCCCTTTTCTTTCTCCCTGCATAGCACCTGCAGCCGGGCGCCTCCTCCTCCAGCTTTCGTGGGGGCCTGAGAGAAAGAGATGGCTCTTTCCCCATCACCGGTTCCTTTTTTTCATTGCTGGTCAAACCCATGACCTCCTACATGCAATCCCGGGGCTGTAAGGTTGCCTTTTCTCGAAAGACACGCCCGGGTTGCCTTGCGCCCTTTTTGGAATAAACCGAGGCTGGTGTGGTGTGTGGGGGGGCACCTGCGCATCCCCCTCCCAAGCATCGCTGGCCCAGGTGAGCCCTCCGATTGGCCACCTCCTCTCCCATGGCTACCCAGCCAGCATTGGCCTCGCGCCTGTTTGCGTGTGTGCCGCCTGCCAAGAGAAAGGGGGAAGCTGCCCTCCGACGCTTCCGTATGTGAATCATTTCTCAAGCAGCCGCGCTCGCGCTCTCCCTCTTGCGCCTCCGCTCGTCGCAATGTGGGTTTCCTACCCGGGAAGCTCCAGAGCGCTCCAGCCACTGCCTGCCTCCCAGATGCTGGGGCAGCGTGGCGGGAAGTGGAGCTCCTGTTGATGCACGGCCCGGGACCGCCTGCCAAGTGAGTTGCTTTCGGCTTGCCGGATCTTATTCGTTGGGGCTTTGAGCTTCTGCTGACAGTGGCGCGTCCTGGAGGGGCTTGGGAAGCTCTGGGGCGAGAGCTCTGGGGAGCTGCAGGGAGAGGCTCGGCTAACCCCCACCCCACCCCACCCCACCCCTTCCCCAGCAGGAGAGATTGCTCGGCTTCCCCAGTGTCTCCTCTCCCCCACTGCCCCCGGAGTCCTTCCCGTGTCCTTCCCCCGGATTGCAGAAACGCGCTGGCAAGCAAGCGTGCCCCCAAGGTTGTACAGAAATTGGCATGTGGCAAAGATATTTAGCCCAGTTCTCCACCTGGGCTCTGTGTGTGTGTGTGTGTGTGTGAGAGCGAGCATGCTGGACTGAGCAGCGGCCCTAAGCAGATCCCCGGATTTAGGGATTTGATGTGGATTCCCCCCTCCCCGCATCCTCTGCAGGGTTTCCTTAGCGACAGCAAAGGGCTGCTAGGCTCAGCCTCTCTCGCTCTCTCTCGCCTGTACCGATCTTGGCTTTACGCGCATCCTCGGGCCCAGCTAGATCAGACCCAAGGTCCGGCCTTTCGTGCCCGGTGGGGCCAGCCGGGAATTCCTGGGAAGCGGGCCACGAGGCCACCCTCCACCTCCCCAGGCGGTCCGCTGGTCCCGAGCATCTGGCGCGGCAGCGGTGCTCTTCCCAACGTGGAGCGTTTCTCTCTTCTCGGATTGCGCTTCGCCCTTTTGCATTCTGCCAGCCTTGAGAGGGTTTACTTAGGGACGGTTATCCCCAAAGAAGGTGCCTCTGATGTAGCTGCGTGCCTAGACCATCTGGAACGGGGCGGGCTGGACGGTGCGCATGTGTGCATGCATGTGAGTGGTGCGGCTGTTGCTTCGCATGTGGGAGATTCCAAGCTCCGTTTCCAAAATCTTCAGCTTGAAACGAAAAGCAAGGGCAAAGGGAAAGAAAAAGGGCAGGCAGCTCGTGCTGAGTCAAAACAGTCCAGCGTTCCTCACCCTGATGCCTGCCTGATGTGCTGGACCACACCTCCCATCCTCCCCTGTGGGCTGGGGAATGCTGGACCAGACCCTGCTGGCCCCCCGGACCCTGGTAGAAGAGGACCGCTTCCTGCATCACGCGCCATGGCAAGCAGCTCTGGTTTTCTAAGCATAGCACCAGCCGCTTGCTCCCTCCACACCAGGGGGAGACGAAAGCCCCCCCCCCCCCCCCCCTTTGCATCAGCCCAGGATGAGGCCAGGAATGCCAGACGGCGTGTCCCCCGCTCCACCCCTGTGGCACGGCCAGTGTTTCGGTGGCAGCGGTGAATGCAGACCCTGGACCGAATCTGCCTGTGGCCGGCTGGACGGAGCAGCTCTGGCCAGAGGCAGCGTTCCCCGCGCGATCGGCCGCTGGAGCTGGGCCCACGTGCAGGAATGCCAGTTGACTTCCTGCCCTGCCTTTTGCGCTCCCAGAAGGTCTTTCGCTCTGAGAAACAGGAAGCCGAGCGAAACGAGCCTTTTGGCCTGATCCAGCGCAGGCCATTCTGGCACTCCTACACAGGCAAGGCATCCAAGCGACCTCCTCCCCTCCGTGCTTCGGTCATTTTCATACCTGCGAGATTTCGCCCTTTCTGGCTTGCTGAAGTTTTGGAATGCTGCTTTTTAAATAGAATAACAACAGCACTTATCTGTGATTTAAGAGGGTGTCGTTGTTGCTTTTGAAACCGGTATCACTTTACCATTCTTGTAGTCGTTTGTGCTCCTGGATTTCATACTAGAATAAGCTGCTCTGCTTTTCCGTAAGCAGAGAAGTATAGTATTATGAAGATTCAAATCAAGCATTGTTATCGTGCTTTTTTCTGCTTCTTGCCATCCTTGCCTTTTGTGTCTTTCTAGACACAAGCCTGATTTTGCCACAATGATCTGTCCTGCTTCATGTTTGCCACGCAAAGAGTGGCATATAAAAGCGTTCGATTCACGAATTAAAGATGTACCCAACATTAAATGGAACCTTTATTGCATCCTTAAAACCAGAAATGATACCCAAGCAAATTTTTAACTCCATAAAAGGACAGTGACTATCTCTGTGCTCAGCTTTGGAACATTAAATGCATAACATGAAAGGAAAGGGGAATTCGGAGGGAAGAAGAAAGCAAGTAAGCTCAGGTACTGAAGATATGGCATTCTTTCTGCAAGCCACTGAGAAGGAAAGCAGGCAGTGGCCCCCAGACTCGGCTGGCTAATTTGGATCCTGCTCCGAAGCCCAGCAGTGCTTCCCGTTCCCATCTCTGCCGCTCTGCAATCGCTCGTCATTCTGGCAGGGCTGGCAGCGGGTCGAATCCTCTGTCCCGTGCAGCCAGGTGCAGCTCCTGTGGGCACACTGGCCCAGAGTTCCTCGTGAAAGATGGGCTCTGTTTTTATTTATACCCGGCAGCTTGGTCTGGGAACATCATTTAGTTTTCCCATAATGCCCCCTTGGCTCCCAGGCTGCACAGTTCCCAAGCTACTTATTTGCATATTTTACATTCTTTTTCACTCCCACTCCTCTGCTCAAAAGCCAGCCAGTGCTGCCTTTTGGCGATCAGCACGGCCAGAGACTCGCTACCCCTGCAGGGTTACAGTCCCAAAGGCACGACCCACAAGGAGAAGGGAGTGGGGAGGAGAGAGGGAAACCGTTCAGTCTTCCAGCAGGGCAGGCAAGTGGCCCTGTTTCCCCTCGTCATCGTCCTCTGTGCAGCCTGCTGGGTTTTTGGGGTGGGGAGGGAGGAGAAGCCCTCCCGAGGTGGGGTTTGGCAGGACGCTCTTGACTTCCACTGGTTTTCCCCGTCCTCTGCCCCTTCTGCCTGTGGCCATCCTTGCCCCGTGAATCGGCTGCATTGCAGGCCCTTCCTTGACTGCATCCCCTTTCCCCATCTTTGCTTACCCAGCACCACTTCCCCACGTATCCAGACTGGATGAGATTTTAATCCATGCCAAACTGACCGTTTCCTCATCCCCCCCCCCCCTTGTGGGAGCTGGACTGCAAAGCTTTCCCTGGCGGTTTAGGGTCAATGTTTTCTGCCTGGCCAAGTCGTTCTGCAGCCAATCCATGTCCCGTCACGTGCTCAATGCAGAATCGATGGAACTTTCTGCCTCTCTCAGGACTCCAGGGACGGTTTGGCGCGATCCATCGGCCATCGGTTTAGGGCAGGGGAAAAGGAGCTGAATTTGGCAAGTCAGTCTGACCGTCATGTGGTCCTCCCAACATCCCAGGTTGGGCTTCTGCACGTGGAGCACCCACCCCAGGGAAGGTCCTCCGCAAAAGCAAGGCAGCCCTGTGTAAGCACCCGCACAGCCTCGCAGCCTGCCTGGGGAGCAACCTGTCATGAGCACAGGAAAGGAAACTCCAGTTGGGCTTGTAGCCCATCGCCTTGGAAAGCTGGCAGAGAGTTAAATAATCATGCACGTATGTTCTTTGCATCTCCACAAGGCTGCATTCCTTCGCCCCTCCAGGCCAGCAGCGGTGCCACAGGGCTGTCCCGAGGGAGAGGGGAGCAGGAAGGGGAACTGTCCCACCACCTGTCCGAAAGACGGTTTCCCTTCCCTCCCTCTGAGCTCTCGTCCCTTCCTGCTTGTGTGCTGCGGCCTGCCTTAGCCTGCAAAGCTGCAAGTGGGATTGTCTCGTTTTGGCAAGAAGATGCACTCCACTTCAGCAGCCTGGCTGACGGAAGACCAGGCTAAAAATACTTCCAATACATAAATAAAATGGATAAGTCAGAGCGCGGCATGGTTCTTCTGGCTGCCCTTATCTTTGAAGGCCCCATGCGGTGCGGTTGTAAGCGTTATGTGCAAAACCCCAACAGCTCCCACTCCTAAACCCAAGTCGAAGGCATACTTGCGGCCATCCATTTTTGAACCTGTGAATGGCCTCCCCTCCCTTTCCCACATGCGCTGAGGAAGGTGTTTTTCCGCTGGGTGTCACTGGCGCCGAGGGCTGACCGGTTTTTTATCGACCGCCCGTTACGTCCCTGTTTCCTAGTTTCCAAACAGGGCATTGCTGTGGGTGGAGGTCCTGAGAAAAAGCGGCACTGTTTTGATTTCCTGGTGCTGGGCGTGTGCCACGTGGGTGTTTTTGTGGGTGGTGCCTGCCCACAGGCTCTGCGGCACCTCCGGGTGTCAAACACGGTTAGCCAAGGTTGCTGAATAGGTCCCCGGGAGCGGCAGGCGGGGACAATTGAGAAAGATCCCGTGCGTGAAGCATGCACGATGCTAGGAGAGGCCTGCCTGGGCTGGGCTAAAGATCCGGCTTGTAGCCCATCGGCCAGAACGCATTCCCTCGCCCTGCAGCTTTCTGGCAATGTGCCCGTCTCATGCCAGCCAGCCCCGGGTGTCCCTGGGCCTGGCACTGGAGAAGGAGGCAACCTGGGCACAAGACGGGCTTCTATTTCTTCCACCCACTGCTTTGCCTTCAAAGGCCGTGCCGTTCTTGGCATCCGGTGCAAAAGCCACATCAGGAAAGCAGAAACTGCTGCTTCAGAGATGTGAGGTTTCAGGGGTGTGGGGGAGACAGGGCCGCAACCCTTTCCGGCCAGCATGGAGCATGTGTCTGTTGAATGTCATGGATGAGAAATAGGACCAGAGAAAGAAGACGGGGAAAGGCGGGGCGCACGGGCTTGGTTAAATGGGTTGTATTTGTGTTTTGTGCATTTCCTGGGGCCTCTCATCTGACCAACAGCTCACTGGCAGAATTGTATTCTGCACAAATGTGTGATGCCTGAAATGGTACAATGCAAAAGCGGAAGGGAAGGGAAGGGCTCCGGGTCTGCAGGACCCACGTGACTCCACCAATCCATGGGTGGCTCTCATAGAAATACAAGCTCCTCCACATGCATGCGGATGCCTGCCTCTACTGTTTCTTAAGGTCGTCCTGCCCCAGTAAGCTTCTGACTGAAAACACACACAGCACAAGAGGAAAGGCGACTGGGAGGGCAAAGGAGAAAAGCAAGCTCAGGCACTGGTGTTCTTGCAGGAGTGGCTGTCAGGGTGGGGGATGTGCTACACATGTGGTAGGCAGAAGGTGGTTTCCTGGGCCTGTCTGATTTTCCAGCCATCTCTTTGTGTGTGTGTGTGTGTGTGTGAGAGAGAGAGAGAGAGAGAGGGAAAGTCCAGCATATCTCTTCCAGCTGCTGGATAAGCCGGCGCCAGATGTTTTCCACCTCTGCCTATTTCTTTTGGGGGAGAGGCAGGGTGTCCCAGAAGCATTCAAAACCATTAACAACCTCTTTCTCCTTTCTCACGCATCCTTCCTCACCCCTCCTGCCCCTGGCATTCGTGTTTCTTCGCAGACCGACCGCTGATCCGGAAGAGAAATGAAGAGCTCGGCCAGGCCATGGAGCGCCGTGCCCAAGCAGGGGAGCCACGGCGCAGATCGGGGAAGGCCGCTGCCCGCTGCCTCGACGGGCATGAAGGCCTCCAGGTCCTCTACCTCGCTGGCCTTTGACTCCCGCCTGAGCAAGGTGGGTGCCGTGTCGTAGCCGGGGAACGTCTGAATCAGGGTGCCAAAATAAACCGGGGGGGGGGGAGGGAGGGTGGGCTAGGCTGCCGAGCAGGGCAGAGCAGAACTGGGCTTGGCCTTCTTTGCGGGACGCAGTGGCCCCTGCTTTATTGTCAGGTTGCCTCGGACTTGGGCCAACCCAGGGCATCAGTCTCCCCTGAAATGTCCTGTCCTTAAACCTGTTCAAGGGTTATGGGTGAAATCCACAGTCTCACACAGGCGTGCAAAGCATGGCTGGTTGTAACTTGAGTTGCCCCTCGTTCCACTCTGCGATTGAAATCACAACCAAAGTGGCGGACAAGAAAGAGAATAACAGAGTGGCGTGAAACGATCGTACAGTGCATCCCTTAAAATTATAACCCATATATTGCAAAAGATCAGGCCTCGTAGGAAGAGAAATGCACTCCTTGAATTAAAGTTGAATCAAATTCAAGCTCACTTGAATTAAAAAAGTAATTTCTGCTGTAGAGAAGGAGCCTTGCAGAGGGGGAAACCTAAGCGGGAAAGGAGGAGGGCAGGCCTTACTGTTGCGTTGTGTTGGAAAATGCAACAATAAGAAAAATAAGCGTATTATAAAGTGTTAGCAAACAATGCCACAGGGACCTCCGAGTAACTTAATAAGGTGCCGTGTTGATGGAAGACCACAAGAGGAGCCTTGCCGGGTCAGACACAAAGTTCGGTCACCTTGCCCACTCCCCGGAATTATGCAGTCATACTTCGCTCCGGCCATAAGGACTAGCAGCTTGCTGGGTCCCACTTGCTAAGTCCCTCATCCAGGACTCAGTTCTGTGCTCGCACGGAGTCGTGGAACACGCCTCGCCAGTTCCTGACTGTGAGAAGGTGGCAAGGAAGTGGCCCGTGGCTTTTCCAAGCTGTACTTCAACCACAAAGCTCCTTGCGGGGTCCCGAGCATCCGAGGGAAATTTCTTTTCCAGGTTCTCCTCCCACAAGCAAAGGGGCCAGGAGTGCCTTCCTTCTCGCCCCACCTCGGGAGGATTGCCACAGCTTCTGCGAAACAGCAAGGCCCCGCTCGGATGTACCAGCTGGCCTGCGAGCTGCCGGGTGGTTTGGCTACTGGAGGAGGCGGCGTTCCTGCCAGGCCTACCAAATCCCACATCATTATTTTCTGAAAGTCGGCTGGAGGATGAAAGGAAGAGAGAAAACCGGGAGAATTACGAGGCGCCAGCTGATGTCTGTGATGCGGCAGGAGCTTGCCGAGCCCGGAGCGCGTTTTTAATTTTCCTCCCTTCAGGCCGCCTGCTGGGCGACGTGCCAGTGCGGAGGCAGCAGGAGGCGCTTGGCTTTGCAAGTCTGGGGCCAGGGCTGTCCAGGTGTCTGCGACAGGGCAGCTGAGGTGCAGTCCAACACCTGCCTTCCCCACTCAGTGCCCTCCGGGTCTCTTGGTCTACAGCTCCCGTCGTTTCCAGCAAGCAGCCTCTGGCAGCACTGCAAACCTCAGGGTCTCCCCCACCGGAAGCGCTTCATGCCTCTTGTTTCTCAGTGCCCTTGTTTTAACGGTGCCGTCAGCACTTGGACTGGTCTCCAAGCTTTTGCAAGGTGCCGTGCAGCAGATGGGCAGCAGAAGTCAAAATACAAGATCTTTTTAAAAAGGTTTAAAAATAGCGATCAAATCAAGCGTACCTCCATGGGTCTTGTGTGGGATTGCTCTGGGTGAACAAGGAAAGGTTCTGTTCAGTTAGTTAGTTAGTTAGTTAGTTAGTTATTTATTTATTTATTTATTTATTTATTTGGAGTTCTTTTATGCCGCCCCATTCGCAAAAGCCTCGGGGCGGCTTCCAACACAAATAAATAGCAATACAAATACATAAAAATGGGAAACATCCTGGTATAAATATAAAATCAATAAATAAAATCAGCAATTAAAATAACATTTAAATAAAATAAAAAGGTTTTGGCCTGGAGCTGAAAAACAACTAACGACAGGACTGGCACTTCTCCCTGGGAAAGCTGTGTAACTGTGTCACTGCCTGGAAGGCCCTGCTTGTTTGGAATGTGGTGTGTGTGTGTGTGTGTGTGTGTGTGTGTGTGTGTTTAGCCCTGGAGTGGAGAACTCGAGAAGGTGGCCACTGGGACCACCTTCCCATTGTGCGATCTCGGTCACGCCTGCCTCCTCTCTTGCAGCTGAAAAGAGCCAGCAGTGAAGACATGCTGACGAAGCCCGGCGTCGCCACGGCTGCCTCGGGGGCCTCCCGGCTGAAGAAGACCGTCACGACCGGGGCCATCTCGGAGCTCGCTGAGAACCGGCTGCGGCCGAGCACAGGTAAGGAGGCGCTGGAGCCCCGGTGGCCCAGGCCGGTCGCCTTCTCGCGGTGGCTGGGGGATCCCAGCAGCCGGCGCCTTGAGCGGGGGCTGATTCAGCCAGGCTCCTGGAGCCCTGGCGCTGGCCGCGGGGGCACACGGGGGCGCGGAGAGCTGCCCCGTGCCGTCGGGCGGGTGGCCCGTCTTGTGCTGCGTGGCCCTCCTCCGTCTGCAGCTGGGGGCACCACCGTTCCCCCGGAGTCTGGTGCCTGCAGTGACAGTGGGGCAGTCCTCCACTCTGGGTTTTGGCCTGAACCGTTCGCGCTTGGCTTTGGGCCTAAACAGGCTGGGGCAGATGGGAGTTGCGGTCCAGAACGCCTGGGTGGGGTGCTGCTGGGGACGGTGGCTGCCTTTTCTTCCTGGAGGTGCGTTCCACTTGGATTTGGGGGAGGGGGGCAAGAAAAGCACATACCTATTTTAACGGGCGAATGCGAATTCTTTCTCCCGCTCTGGCTTTTTCGCCGTCTCCAATAATTTATGCACAGTGGCCACCGGGGGGCAGCAGTGGCGCGGCTGAGTGGCTGAAGGGTGGAAAAGGAAACCCACCGCTTCTCCTGGCTGTGAGTTTGTAGGGCCGGCGCCTTTCTGGGGTCAGGGCTGGAGGGAGATCAGCGTTACTTGGCAGTGGAAACGGTGCAGCGGCGGCCGGTTTTGGCTTTGCAGGCAGAAATGCTGCCAGGGCGCCAGTCCAAACGCCCCTTTCTCCGGCTCATGTATGTCTGCCTCTCGGAAAGGTAATGTGCATGTATTTGTGATAGCCAAGCGCCAGCTGGAATTAAGTGCGGCTGGTAGAAAACATGCAGTTGCCCTCTCAAGCCCGTGGCGTCGGACTGCCCGTGTTTTCCTAATGCGCTTGGCGCATGTTTGCACATGTGAGAGCCAGTGTGGTGTCGTGGTTAAGAGCATGGGACTGGGACTCAGAGGATCTGGGTTCGAGTCCCCGCTCAGCCATGGAGCCAACTGGGTGACTCTGGGCCAGTCACAGACTCTCAGCCCAACCTACCTCACAGGGTTGTTGTTGTGGGGATAAGATGAAGGAGCAGAATGATGTCAGATGCCTTGAGCCCTTTGTAGGAAAAAGGCAGGATATAAATTGAATGAATGATGAATGAATGAATGAATGTTTGTTCCAGTCTTCAGCCAATCTTACGTGTGATCAATCCAGCAAGACAGGCTCCTGCCCATAGGTTTACAATCTGAAAAGACGCAACATATAAGGAGAAGGGAATGCGGAGGGCAGAGGAGTAAACAGTCACTAGAGTCAGGTTAGTGGAATGGTTCTGCCCGTCGGTGCAACCTGCTGGAACGGCTGCTAATGATAAATCAGTAGTAATCATTTAATCTTGCTAATCGTCATAACTAATCCAGAGCCAGTGTGTTATGGAGTGCTGGACTGGGGTTTTGGCCACCTCTGGTTCCAGCCCCTACTCGACCATGAAGCCTACAGACTCTCAGCCCAGTCGACCTCGCAGGGTTGTCGTGAGGAGAAAAAGTAGGAGGAGGACTGCTTAAGCCTCTCCGGGTTCCTCCCAAGAGGAATAAAAGGGATATCCCTGCAGTCGCACTAAGAAAAATAAAGTGAACGCAGGGCATACCATAAATGACCTTCTCTTCAGGCATGGTCACTCGATCAGGGCAGGTCAGAGGAATGGCTGCTTGCCGCTCAGGGGGGCCCCCCATTTCCACCCCCCCGACCGCCTTGTGTGCTGCAGGCCACATGCACGCAGGGAGAGCGCAGTCGGTGGCACCCGGCGCTCGGCTTGCCGCTCAAGGTCACTCGTGCGGGCGTGGGGAAGGGCTGTGCCCGGGGAGCGCCTGGCCTTGGCGTTTCCTGCACCAGCCCGTTCTCTGCCGGCGTTCCCGCTTTCGAAAGCAGAGCAGGTTGAGCTCGCGGCCTCCCACAGACGTCTCGCAGGCCTCTGCCTGGCTGCTCTCCTGTTTTTTGTTGTTTTTATTTCTATTATCTTAATGAAAGGCAAGCAGCAGTAATAAAAACTGGACGCCTATGGGCCCGATTTAATTAGCGTTATAATATCCCCATAAAGCACAAGCAGGCTCCCAGTTAGGTCAGATGTGAAGTCGACATCTCCCTTTGAAGGCCAGGCTTTGGCAGCCCATGGGGCGCCCCCCCCCCCGCCAGCCCCAGCAGGCATCCGGGTCCGACGGGGCCTGCTTCTTGCGATCTGTCACATCAAAGGGGAGCAAAAGGCCTGTGGAGGGGGCGGGGGGCGCCCCCTCCTTGCTCAGTCACAGCGCCTCTGTGCTGTTCCCTTCCACGGAGGCCGGCATTTCGGGGTATTCCAGGAGAAGGAGACCCTCCTGGAATTTCAGGGCAGGGCAGGGCCACGGCCCCGCCTGCGCACGGAAGGGGGCTGCTTCGCTTCTCTTTCCTAGCTGCGGGGGGCCGTCGAGTGGGGCCCAGTCAGATGGACAGCGGAAGGATGCTTAGGCACGAGAAAGGCCCCCCATGCTTTTCCTTGGCAATGCGCCTTTTAAGATGATGATGATGATGATAATGATTATTATTATTATTAGAACATTTCTATGCCGCCCCTTGCCGAAGCCTCGGGGCGCCTATATGATGATGATGATGATGATGATGATGATGATGCGCCTATTCCCAAGGTGCGTGCGCCTGGGTGGGGTGGGGGCTGAAGGAGCAGGTGAGGCCCGCGGGCGAAGCGCATTGCCCAAGGGGGCCTCACGGTCGGCAGGTGGTCCCCGGCACACCCTGGCCCGTCCTCCGGCCGTGAAGTGAAATCAGGCCGAGAGAGCAGAGCGCTCTGGGAGGCCGCGAGGTGCGAGGGCGCCCTTCCCGGACACCTGCCGGTCGCCCTCCAGCGCGCGGAGGTCCTGCCAGCTGGCCCGCCTGCGTCAGGAGACCGTTGCCGCTCGTGCGTTGACACACTGTTGGCACGAACCAGACTCCAGCAGGGGGAGGAGCGCTGGAACTGAGGGGATGCCGGCAGAGGCCTGTTCTGGGGGGGGGGCTTGGAGGGGAGTGGGAAGCCCTGTGTTCCCCCCATCCCCACGCGTGGTGTGCCTGTCCCCAAGTCTCCATACCGCATCACACGCTCACGAGGGGTACAGATGCCTTTTGGGGGGAGGCGCTTGGGAAGCCCCCTCTAGAAGCCACGAGACTATCAGGCATACAATCTGTTGGGGGGCTTAGAAGGGGGTCCTTCATGAATCCCACTCCCAAAGTCATTCATCAGGGCCCTGGTGCAGAAATACGGGGCACAGAAGTCAACCGTGATCAGCAGGTCCTGCCAGACTCCTGGGCCGGTCACCTGGGTCTTTCTCGGGGGCCCCCAGCCCCGGGGCAGGCGCTCTGCCCAGGGCAGCCAGGACGGATTTCTCTTATCCGAGATGCTGGCATATGTGGAATAGTTCGGAGGACGTTCCCTTCGCTAGGCTTCCTTTGGCCAGGACTTCTAAGGTTTGGCGCGAGAGGCAGAAGGTCCAGGATAAGGTCGAGCGCCACGGTCCCTGCACGGGAAGCTGTTTCTGCTGGAGGTCCTGAGCGCTTTTTGGTGCCACAGCCGGCACACGGTTTTCGTGCTCCTGGGACTCTGTGGCTTCCTCCCCGCCTCGCGGCGCTTTCCTGTGGGTCCGTTTCCGCAGATGCTTTCTGGGTATCTTGAGGGGGGATACCACAGAAGCCCAGGCTCGAGGCAGTGCGATATGGTGCAAGACAGACAAAGCATTTCTGCAGCAGTTGCCTGCCTGTGCCCTGGAGGCCGAGCTCCATGGCGGTCAGCCCCGCTTTGCCGTGTGCTGGACCAGAGCCCCCTTTGCTCCCGGCTCGGGGTGGGGGGCGGGTGGCTTTTCTCCCCTGCCCTGGGGCCCCCGGCCGTGGGCAGCCCCGCCAGGTGCAGGAGGGGGTGTGCGAGGCCACGCTGCCCCCTCCCCCACCCCGCTCCCCCTGCAGTTGCTCCAGCCGCCTCTGAGCGGCCTCCCTTCCCGTGAGCGAGCGAGCGAGTCGCCGCCTCTGCCCGCTGATTCCTGCAGCTGCTGCGGCGTGATGCTCGGCCGGCCTCGTTGCGATGAGGTGGGAGGGCCGGCCCGGGCGGGGAATGAATGCCACAGCGTAGCAGCGGCAGGCAGCCTTTCTTTCCCCGCTCTGGGGCCGGCCGCCTCGGAGGCAGCTGCTCCGGGCTGCCGCTGGCTCGGCTCCGGGACGGGAGTTCCGGCAGTCCCCCCCCGGCGAGCGATGAGGCGGCCGAGGGGGCCGTAGAGAAGCGTCCAGGATGGGCAACCAGCCGGCGAGACCCGAGGAACCGGATCCAGGTCTGTGCGGGCGGCAGGGGACGGTTGCCGGGCTCGCGCGTTGGGGTTTTGTTCAGCTCCGCACAGGCCTCGGCAGGTGTGAGGCGAGGGAGCCTCACCTTCCGTGCGCACGGGGCAGAGGCGGCCAGCTTCTGTCCTCGTGGGCCGTGTCCTGTAGCAGCTCTCGGCCCTCCCGGGGCCCCACCGCCCTGATACTCAGCCTCACGGCTGGCCAACTTTTGCAGCAGCAACGGGGAGGGAATTCCTGGGCGCAGGACGAGGGTGCCGTTTTGGGGGACGCTGCGGGGGTCTTTCTTGGGAAGGGTTAGGGTGTTTCCTTGGGGCTTGCAAGTGCCTCTCTCTGGTCAGGCTGCGAGATTGGGGGGAGGGCCGGGGACAGGTTAGCGCTCCAGGGCAGCTCCCCAAAGACAGGCAGAACCGGCTTTCCCCAAGCCCACTGCCCAGGGGTGGGTTCAACTCCAGCTCCTGTCAGGCATGGCCAGGGGCCGAGGGCGTGGGGTGCTTTGGCCGAATGCACCCGGAGATCACAAGAAGAGCAGGGCTGTGGCTTCCTCGGGAAATACTCTGCCTCACGCTTCATGGCTCAGCCCCACCAAGCGAGCCAGCGGTGAAGCGTTTGGGCACGTTGCAAGGAAGAGCAGAGTTTGTGTGCGGGGGGGGGGGTCTCCTTGG